CAAGAAACAGTAACCCAGAAAAATAACACCGGTAAAAACAAAAAAGAGAAATGGGACGACAAAAAACAGGTACTCCGGTACACAAAACAGGTAATTCCCGGTACACAAAACAGGTATTCCGGTACACAAACAGGTAGTCCGGTACACAAAACAGGGTAGTCGGTACACAAAACAGGTACTCCGGTACGACAAAACAGGTATCCGGTACCAAAACGGTACTCCGGTCACAAAACAGTACTCCGGTACACAAAACAGGTACTCCGGTACAAAAAACAGGTATTCCGGTACACAAAACAGGTACTCCGGTCACAAAACAGGTAGCCCGGGTACCAAAACGGTACTCCGGTCACAAAACAGGTACTCCCGGTAAAACAAAACAGGTACTTCCGGTACACAAAACAGGTACTCCGGTACACAAAACAGGTACTCCGGTACAAAAAACAGGTTACTCCGGTACACAAAACAGGTACCTCCCCGGTACTACAAAAACGGTACTCCGGTACACAAAACAGGTACTCCGGTACACAAAACAGGTACTCCGGTACACAAAACAGGTACTCCGGTACACAAAACAGGTACTCCGGTACACAAAACAGGTACTCCGGGTTTACACAAAACAGGTACTCCGGTACACAAAACAGGTACTCCGGTACACAAAACAGGTACTCCGGTACACAAAACAGGTACTCCGGTACACAAAACAGGTACTCCGGTACACAAAACAGGTACTCCGGTACACAAAACAGGTACTCCGGTGCAAAAACAGGTACCCGGCAAAAAAACAGGTACTCCGGGTACACAAAACAGTTACTCCGGTACACAAAACAGGTACTCCGGTACACAAAACAGGTACTCCGACACAAAACAGGTACTCCGGTACACAAAACAGGTACTCCAGGACACAAAACAGGTACTCCGGTACACAAAACAGGTACTCCGGTACACAAAACAGGTACTCCGGTACACAAAACAGGTACTCCGGTACACAAAACAGGTACTCCGGTACACAAAACAGGTACTCCAGGACACAAAACAGGTACTCCGGTACACAAAACAGGTACTCCGGGACAAAAATCAGGTACTCCAGGACACAAAACAGGTACCCGGGACCCCAAAACGGGTACTCCGGACACAAAACGGGTACACCGGGACAAAAAAAAACAGGTACACCGGACAAAAAAACAGGTACTCCAGGACACAAAACAGGTACTCCAGGACACAAAACAGGTACACCGGGACACAAAACAGGTACACCGGTACACAAAACAGGTACTCCGGGACAAAAATCAGGTACTCCAGGACACAAAACAGGTACTCCGGGACACAAAACAGGTACTCCGGGACACAAAACAGGTACACCGGGACACAAAACAGGTACACCGGGACACAAAACAGGTACTCCAGGACACAAAACAGGTACTCCGGTACACAAAACAGGTACTCCGGGACACAAAACAGGTACACCGGGACACAAAACAGGTACACCGGGACACAAAACAGGTACTCCAGGACACAAAACAGGTACTCCAGGACACAAAACAGGTACTCCAGGACACAAAACAGAACCCGGACCAAACGTACTCCAGACACAAAACAGGTACTCCAGGACACAAAACAGGTACTCCAGGACACAAAACAGGTACTCCAGGACACAAAACAGGTACTCCAGGACACAAAACAGGTACTCCGGGACACAAAACAGGTACACCGGGACACAGATGAGCCACAGGCATGTCAGGAAGTATTTCTTCAGTCTCAGGGTCGTCAGGAAGTACAATAATCTCGTTGAGAAAGTGGTGGAGGCAGCCTTCACACAGTTTTAATTGCAGGTACGATAGGGGCCATGTGGATAGGAGGGAGAGAATCCAGCAAGTAACAAGATAGGGGAGGGGGGGGCGGGGTAAAGACTCGACCCCTGCAATAACACATAGGTGAGCAACACACCCACACACACACCCACACACACACACACACACACACAACACACACACACACACACACACACACACACACCCCCACACAACACACACACACACACACACACACACACACACACCCACACACACACACACACACACACCACACACACACACGCACACACAACACACACACACAACCACACACACACACACACACACACACACACACACACACACACACACACACAGCAGCGGGGTCCCACGGGGGTTGGTCCTAGGACCCAGTGCTATTTTTGGTATATGTGAACAACATGATGGAAGGGTTAGACTCAGAAGTGTTCCGTTTGCAGATGATGTGAAGTTAATGAGGAAAAATTAAATCTGATGAGGACCGGGCAGGACTTCAAAGAGCCCTGGACAGACTGGACACCAGGTCCAGCAAATGGTTCTCGAATTTAATCCTGCCAAAAATGCAAAGTCATAAGGGATAGGGAAGGGCCCACAGAAGACCACAGACAGAGTATAGGCTAGGGGGCCAAAGACTGAAAACCTCACCAAGGAGAAAGATCTTGGGGTGAGTATAACACCGAGCATGTCTCCGGAAGCACACATCAATCAGATAACTGCTGCAGCATATGGGCGCCTGGCAAACCTGAAACAGCATTCGACACCTTAGTAAGGAATCATTCAAGACACTGTACACCGTGTATGTCAGGCCCATACTGGAGTATTGCAGCACCTGTTTGGAACCCGCACTTGATAAAGCACGTCAAGAAACTAGAGAAAGTAAAAAGGGTTTTGCAAAAAAGGTTAGTTCCAGAGCTAAGGGAATGTCCTATGAAGAAAGATTAAGGGAAATCGGCCTGACGACACTGGAGGAACAGGAGGGTCAGGGGAGACATGATAACGACATATAAAATACTGCGTGGAATAGACAAGGTGGACAAAGACAGGATGTTCCAGGGAGGGGACACAGAAACAAGAGGCCACAATTGGAAGTTGAAGACACAAATGAGTCAGAGAGTTTAGTAGGAAGTATTTTCTTCAGTCATAGAGTTGTAAGGCAGTGGAATAGCCTAGAAAAGGGACGTAGTGGAGGCAGGAACCATACACGTTTTAAGACGAGGTTTGATAAAGCTCATGGAGCGGGGAGAGAGAGGGTCCAGTAGCAACCGGTGAAGAGGGGGGGGCCAGGAGCTAAGACTCGACCCCTGCAACCACAAATAGGTGAGTACAAATAGGGAGTACACCCCACACACACACACACACACACACACACACACACACAACAACACACACACACACACACACACACACACACACACACACACACACACAACACACAAAACACACACACACACACACAGGAGCTTGGACTCGACCCTTGCAGCCTCAACTAGGTGAGTACACACACATACACGTTCTCCCTCGTCAAACTGTTAATATCACGACATATCTGAATCATAGTGGGAATTGGTAGGAATATAGAGACACGTAAGTAAACATTACAATGCACACGATACACACGTCTTGTGCATACTAGTGTCACTTTCTGTAGCCGAGTGGTCACACATGCGGCTCTCGTCAGGAGGTCGGGGAAGGCAGGTCAAGCCCAGACGGGAAGAACCTCATAGGTAACGTCCTCGGAAGGTTGTTCTAGCCTTCCTTTTGTCACACAGTTACATAATTTTGTGAACTTTTATGAACAACTTCAAACTGAATTAAATGGAGCGGTAGATCGGTGTGAGAAATTCACTATAAGGAACAGTGGAGACTGGATTCTCCGTCTAGTTACGGCGGACCGGTCTGTGACCAGCCAGGGTGATGCTACTGGCTCTCCAGCAGCTGTGAAGGAAGAGTCAGAGAACCTGCATGAGGTAAGCACCTTCACCACACCTCACACCACCACCATTGGTGCCACACGTAGTTTTCTTCCGTGGCCGGACAAATGCCCGACGGACACTTGACCGACAGACATTTGATCGCTGGACAATTGGCCGAACGAACATTGCGCAGACAGCCATTTGGCTGAACGGATAATTAGTTAGGTTAGATTAAGTTAGGTTAGGTTAGGGTAGGTTATACTAGGTTAAGTTAGGTTAGGTTAAATTAGGTTAAGTTAGCTTATGCTAGGTTAGGTTAGGTTAAATTAGATTAGGTTAGGCTAAGTTAGGTTAAGTTCGGTTAGATTAGGTTAAGTTAGGTTAGGTTATGCTAGGTTAGGTTAAGTTAGGTTAGGTTATGCTAGGTTAAGTTAGGCTATGCTAGGTCTAGTTAGGTTCGGTTATGTTAGGTTAGGTTAGGTTAGGTTAGCTTATGCTAGGTTAAGTTAGGTTACGTTAGCCTTTGCTGTAGGTTAGCCTTTGCTAGGTTAAGTTAGGTTAGGTTAGCTTATGCTAGGTTAAGTTAGGTTACGATAGCCTTTGCTATAGGTTAGCCTTTGCTAGGTTAAGTTAGGTTAGGTTAAGTTAGGTTATGCTAGGTTAAGTTAGGTTAGGTTAGGTTAAGTTAGGTTACGTTAGGTTATGCTAGGTTAGGTTAAGTTAGGTTAGGTTATGCTAAGTTAAGTTAGGCTATGCTAGGTCTAGTTAGGTTCGGTTAAGTTAGGTTAGGTTAGGTTAAGTTAGGTTAGGTTATGCTAGGTTAAGTTAGGCTATGCTAGGTCTAGTTAGGTTCGGTTAAGTTAGGTTAGGTTAGGTTATGTTAGGTTAAGTTAGGTTAGGTTAGCTTATGCTAGGTTAAGTTAGGTTGTGTTAACTTTTGCTATAGGTTAGCCTTTGCTAGGTTAAGTTAGGTTAGGTTAAGTTAGGCTATGCTAGGTCTTGTTAGGTTAAGTTAGGTTAGGTTAAGGTGATAAAGGCCAGTTCGACGATATGTCCTTTCGGTGAAATGTCCATCGGCCAAATGCCCGGAGTCTTGTTCTTCATAAATCTTATCATCTCCATTGTTTTGTCCTCCTGGATATCTTAGTCTTTTGGTGAGTGACGGGATAAAGTTGTCCTCCGATGTGTCCTTCGTCAGATACAACCTGAGACTTGCTCACACGGGTTAAACCATCGACCTTTCCTGACCAGAGCCGCTCAACATGTAAACGTAATCTTGATGTTGAGTATTGTGTTGCAGGGAGTTTGATGTTGCAGCTCATGGACCCGGCGGCTGACCCCTGCGACGATTTCTACCAGTTCGCTTGCGGCCGGTGGAATGGAAAGTTTCCCAGCCGGCAAGACAAAGTGAGTATGCTCCTCCTCCTTCTTCAGCTTCCTAGAAAAGGTAATACAAACCACACCACGAGCGGGGATTGAACTTTTGGTGAGTGAATCGTAAACCTCCAGGGCAGCGCGTAAGCTGGCCCAGTGGCTTACGCCCTGGCCTGGAGTTTCACGACTCCATCGCCACGAATTCGATCCCCACCCGTGGTGTGATTTGTTTACAATCGTGTCATTATGATTTCGTGAGTCAAGAAGGTAAACAGACATACACGGTGTAAAACAAGCTTTTATAGAGGCAACGTTTCGCTCTGAGTAGAGCTTCATCAAGTCATAACATGAAAGAGCATTACACCAGAGAGTCAGACGAGGTGGCCCTCGAGTCGCTTGTGGCCCTTAAATCCCATAATCGCGCCCCCCTCACACTTCAGTCTTGCCAGATGGTCTCCCACTCATACCACTCACACTTCAGTCTTGCCAGATGGTCCCCCACTCATACCACTCACACTTCAGTCTTGCCAGATGGTCCCCCACTCATACTTCAGTAACTTCACCACCACCACCACTACTAGTAACCCACCACCACTATTAGTAACCCACCACCACTACTAGTAACCCCCACCATACTAGAACCCCCCACCACTACTGTAGAACCACCACCACTACTATAACCCACCACCATCTTGTAACCCACCACCACTACTAGTAACCCACCACCACTATTAGTAACCCACCACCACTACTAGTAACCCACCACCACTACTAGTAACCCACCACCACTACTAGTAACCCACCCCCAAAACTTTGTAACCCACCCCCACAAATTGTAACCACCACCATATAGTAACCCACCACCATATTGTAACCCACCCCATACTAGTAACCCCCCAACACCACACTATGTAATCCACCCACCACTACTAGTAATACCACCACCACCCTATAGTAACTCAACACCATACACTACTAGTAACCACACCACCACCACTACTAGTAATCACCCCCATATAGTACCCCCCCACCACCACCTTACTAGTAACTCACCACCACCACCACTAAGTAAACCACCCACTACTAGTAACCCACCACCACCAACCATACTGTAACCACCACCACCACCACTACTTCAAACCACCCCACCACCACCACCACACCACACCACCCACTGTAACTCACCACACCACCACCACTACTATTAACTCACCACCCCACCACTACTAGTAACCCACCACCACTACTAGTAACCCACCACCACCACCACTACTAGTAACCCACCACCACCACTACTAGTAACCCACCACCACCACCACTACTAGTAACCCACCACCCCACCACTTCTAGCAACCCCACCACCACCACCACTACTAGTAACCACCACCACCCACCACTACTAGTAACTTTACCACCACCCCCACCACACCACACCACCACCACCAAAACCACCACCACCACCACCACCCCCACCACCACCACCACCACCACCACTACTAGTAAACCCACCACCACCGCCGCCACTACTAGTAACCCACCACCACCAACCACCACTACTATTAACTCACCACCACCACCACTACTAGTAACCCAAACCCCCACTGCTAGTAACCCACCACCACCACCACTACTAGTAACCCCACCACCACCCCACCACTCTAGTAACCCACCACCACCACCACTACTAGTAACCCACCACAACCACCACTACTAGTAACCCATCACTACTACCACTAGTAGTAAACCCCCCACCATCACCACCACTACTAGTAACACCACCACCACCACTACTAGTAACCCACCACCACCACCACTACTAGTAACCCACCACAACCACCACTACTAGTAACCCATCACTACTACCACTAGTAGTAACCCACCACCATCACCACCACTAGTAGTAACCCACCACCACCACCACCACTACTAGTAACTCACCACCACCACCACTACCAGTAACCCACCACCACCATCACCAGGCTGTAGACAACACCTTCGAGCGTCTTAAGGAAGATTTGGACGAGGTACTGAGATCACTGCTAGAGGAGCAGCCCCTTGACACGGACAACAACATCACCCTGGCTGTGAAGACTCTCTACGCTGGATGTATGAACACAGGTGAGGCACAGCCAGACACACACACAGGTGAGGCACAGCCAGACACACACACACACACTATCTTTACGATCTCTCCTAAAATTAGTAAGTATTTACATCCTCAGTGTCGTGGTTCAGTTTCTCTTCTCGACAGCAAGAGGAACTACAATTTAAAATTCTTATGTTTTTCTTTGTATGTTGTTTATCTGTGGCCAGCGACCACTTTATAATATTGCTGATCTTTAAAGTAATATAATACTTAACAATGATCATGGATTATTTTATGTCAGGTGTGGTAGTCAGACTACCACTGTTGCTGCCTCATTCATAGTGTTAGGTTTCTTGACTAGTGTACGGTTAATAAAAGTCTTGGCTGCTAAAGGTTAGACGACCTGCCTAGTCTAGGGGCATTTATATTACTTAATATAGAAAAAGATACCATTGTAGGTTGTGAAGCATCAATTTAAATGGTCAATTTATTATGAGGAAGGACACAAAAACTCATCTATACAAAAATATAATATATTAATAATAAAGTAATATATACAACGTACAATCCACTCTATATAGAACATCACCTTCACTCACTCACATTAACTCACTAGTTCACTACTACTAGTGAGTAAAACAAAATATACAAACATCTGTAAACAGGGAGGCTCCATGACACCCCGTCCCCCTCCTTATGCCGGTTTGTCTACCAGTTGGTAAAAACACGTACAAGTGTTCTCCTAAAACTTACACAGGCCTCTGCACACTAGGGTCTTACAGGTAAATATGAGAGCAGTTATAATAATAAAATAACCTATAGTATAAACTTACAAAAAAAAAAAACATCCCTACAAAAAACAAACCGTGACGTCTTAGGACATCTTGCTGCAGCTGCTGCCCTCAACAAACTCATACACACAAACCATACCACGGGCGGGATTTGAACCCGCGGTCAGAGAGTCTCAAAACTCCAGACCGTCGCGGGTTCAAATCCCGCCCGTGGTATGGTTTGTTTGCAATCGTGTCATTACGATTTCGTGAGTCATGATACACACACACATACCTCACTTTCCTCTCCTGGCCACTCTGACTGACCAGGAACAATACGTGTCTGGCTTCACAACAATCCAGGAAATTGACATTATATATGGAGCATTTTTTTTATACAATATCCACCAATACACCGCGTAATAAAAGTCAGACTATGACTATTGCTGCCTTATTCATAGTCAAACTATTACTATTGCTTCCTCACACATAGTCACTGATCTTCCTCAGTACAATGCTGCTGACGTCCCGTTCCCTAGGTGCTGTAGGTCCCTTAGGGATTTAGGGGTTCCTTAAAACTATAATAAATAAGAATTGCAGAGCACTAACTACATCCCCGTGCTGCTGCTGCTGCTGTTGCAGAAGCCATCGAGGCTCTGGACGCCAAGCCGCTACTGGATCTTCTTCAGGAGCTGGGTGGGTGGCCAGTGCTGGAGGGCGACGCCTGGAACGACACAGGCTACGACTGGGTGCGACAGATGGCTCGCCTCAGGAACTACAACAACGACATCCTTATCTCCGAGTGGGTCGCTGCTGACATCACTAACTCGTCCAACCACATCATACAGGTACGTGTGTGTGTTTCGCTCTGGTTGTAAGACCTTCCTCAGCAGTAGTGTGCTGGAGTGGATCTCTGTGGAACATACAATTCACAGATAACTCTGTGTTTTTAGATTTTCCTCTGCAAAAAAATGACCTTAACTTACATTAAAAGTGTCCTGCAAACATTATGTGTGATTAAAAAAAGTCATTGACTTTGTAAATGGTGCAAGTCGGGTTATTTGTGTATTGTTCCAGTCGCGGTATTGTGCCTTTTGTTCTTTAATGACTATTTTGCTCATTTATCATTGTATCACCGTGGCCTTTGTGGCAATTTTTTTAACTGTGCAACAAATTCACGATTGTACACGTTTGGTTGAGTCAGCTGGACCAGCCAGAGCTGGGGTTGCCTGGACGAGAGTATTTCATCAACCCCGGTGACCAGCAGTACAGAGAAGCCTACCTCAACCTGATGCTGACGGTCACCCAGATGCTGGGAGCCTCCGTCGACACAGCGCTCAGGGACATGTCTGATGTTCTCCACTTTGAGAAGCAGATCTCAAGGGTAAGTGTTGTATTGTTGTTTTGGCCCTGAAGGGTGAGTAGCAGTGTCATTTATCCTGTGTGGGTGACATACTACCATTAAGGCAGTACTTGGCAGTGTCATTTATCCTGTGTGGGTGACATGCTACCATTAAGGCAGTACTGAGCAGTGTCATTTATCCTGTGTGGGTGACATACTACCATTAAGGCAGTACTTGGCAGTGTCATTTATCCTGTGTGGGTGACATACTACCATTAAGGCAGTACTGGGCAGTGTCATTTATCCTGTGTGGGTGACATACTACCATTAAGGCAGTACTGGGCAGTGTCATTTATCCTGTGTGGGTGACATACTACCATTAAGGCAGTACTGGGCAGTGTCATTTATCCTGTGTGGGTGACATGCTACCATTAAGGCAGTACTGGGCAGTGTCATTTATCCTGTGTGGGTGACATACTACCATTAAGGCAGTACTTGGCAGTGTCATTTATCCTGTGTGGGTGACATACTACCATTAAGGCAGTACTGGGCAGTGTCATTTATCCTGTGTGGGTGACATACTACCATTAAGGCAGTACTGGGCAGTGTCATTTATCCTGTGTGGGTGACATACTACCATTAAGGCAGTACTGGGCAGTGTCATTTATCCTGTGTGGGTGACATACTACCATTAAGGCAGTACTTGGCAGTGTCATTTATCCTGTGTGGGTGACATACTACCATTAAGGCAGTACTTGGCAGTGTCATTTATCCTGTGTGGGTGACATACTACCATTAAGGCAGTACTGGGCAGTGTCATTTATCCTGTGTGGGTGACATGCTACCATTAAGGCAGTACTGGGCAGTGTCATTTATCCTGTGTGGGTGACATACTACCATTAAGGCAGTACTCGGCAGTGTCATTTATCCTGTGTGGGTGACATACTACCATTAGGGCAGTACTGGGCAGTGTCATTTATCCTGTGTGGGTGACATGCTACCATTAAGCAGTACTGGGAAGTGTCATTTATCCTGTGTGGGTGACATACTACCATTAAGGCAGTACTTGGCAGTGTCATTTATCCTGTGTGGGTGACATGCTACCATTAAGGCAGTACTGGGCAGTGTCATTTATCCTGTGTGGGTGACATACTACCATTAAGGCAGTACTTGGCAGTGTCATTTATCCTGTGTGGGTGACATACTACCATTAAGGCAGTACTGGGCAGTGTCATTTATCCTGTGTGGGTGACATACTACCATTAAGGCAGTACTGGGCAGTGTCATTTATCCTGTGTGGGTGACATGCTACCATTAAGGCAGTACTGGGCAGTGTCATTTATCCTGTGTGGGTGACATACTACCATTAAGGCAGTACTTGGCAGTGTCATTTATCCTGTGTGGGTGACATACTACCATTAAGGCAGTACTGGGCAGTGTCATTTATCCTGTGTGGGTGACATACTACCATTAAGGCAGTATGGGCAGTGTCATTTATCCTGTGTGGGTGACATACTACCATTAGGGCAGTACTGGGCAGTGTCATTTATCCTGTGTGGGTGACATGCTACCATTAAGGCAGTACTGGGCAGTGTCATTTATCCTGTGTGGGTGACATACTACCATTAAGGCAGTACTTGGCAGTGTCATTTATCCTGTGTGGGTGACATACTACCATTAAGGCAGTACTGGGCAGTGTCATTTATCCTGTGTGGGTGACATACTACCATTAAGGCAGTACTGAGCAGTGTCATTATCCTGTGTTGGTGACCTACTACCATTAAGGCAGTACTGGGCAGTGTCATTTATCCTGTGTGGGTGACATACTACCATTAAGGCAGTACTGGGCAGTGTCATTTATCCTGTGTGGGTGACATACTACCATTAAGGCAGTACTTGGCAGTGTCATTTATCCTGTGTGGGTGACATACTACCATTAAGGCAGTACTTGGCAGTGTCATTTATCCTGTGTGGGTGACATACTACCATTAAGGCAGTACTTGGCAGTGTCATTTATCCTGTGTGGGTGACATACTACCATTAAGGCAGTACTGGGCAGTGTCATTTATCCTGTGTGGGTGACATACTACCATTAAGGCAGTACTTGGCAGTGTCATTTTATCCTGTGTGGGTGACATACTACCATTAAGGCAGTACTTGGCAGTGTCATTTATCCTGTGTGGGTGACATGCTACCATTAAGGCAGTACTAGGCAGTGTCATTTATCCTGTGTGGGTGACATACTACCATTAAGGCAGTACTTGGCAGTGTCATTTATCCTGTGTGGGTGACATACTACCATTAAGGCAGTACTGGGCAGTGTCATTTATCCTGTGTGGCTGACATGCTTCCATTAAGGCAGTACTGGGCAGTGTCATTTATCCTGTGTGGGTGACATACTACCATTAAGGCAGTACTGGGCAGTGTCATTTATCCTGTGTGGGTGACATACTACCATTAAGGCAGTACTTGGCAGTGTCATTTATCCTGTGTGGGTGACATACTACCATTAAGGCAGTACTGGGCAGTGTCATTTATCCTGTGTGGGTGACATACTACCATTAAGGCAGTACTGGGCAGTGTCATTTATCCTGTGTGGGTGACAAACTGCCATTAAGGCAGTACTGGGCAGTGTCATTTATCCTGTGTGGGTGACATACTACCATTAAGGCAGTACTGGGCAGTGTCATTTATCCTGTGTGGGTGACATACTGCCATTAAGGCAGTACTTGGCAGTGTCATTTATCCTGTGTGGGTGACATACTACCATTAAGGCAGTACTGGGCAGTGTCATTTATCCTGTGTGGGTGACATGCTACCATTAAGGCAGTACTGGGCAGTGTCATTTATCCTGTGTGGGTGACATACTACCATTAAGGCAGTACTGGGCAGTGTCATTTATCCTGTGTGGGTGACATACTACCATTAAGGCAGTACTGGGCAGTGTCATTTATCCTGTGTGGGTGACATACTACCATTAAGGCAGTACTGGGCAGTGTCATTTATCCTGTGTGGGTGACATACTGCCATTAAGGCAGTACTGAGAATTGCTACTCATGGGGTGTTAGTCTCGTTACTCTTGCTGGTTCTTCACCTAGTAGTACATAAGTACCAGGGTGCTAGTCTTCACCTAGCAGTAAATAAGTACCAGGGAGCTAGTCTTCACCTAGCAGTAAATAAGTACCAGGGTGCTAGTCTTCACCTAGAAGTAAATAGGTACCAGGGTGCTAGTCTTCACCTAGAAGTAAATAGGTACCAGGGTGCTAGTCTTCACCTAGCAGAAAACAGGTACTACGGTGTTAGTCTTCTCACACCAGCTCACTAAGTTCATAAATCCAAGGGGCTGAGGCTACCATCCCTTCCCTTGGATCAGACCTCCCGTTTCAGTCTAACAAGTCTCTATATGACCCCATCAAGTTTATATATATATATATATATATATATATATATATATATATATATATATTATATATATATATATATATATATATTATATATATATATATTCAACAAGTCGGCCGTCTCCCACCGAGGCAGGGTGACCCAAAAAAAGAAAGAAAATACTTTCATCATCATTCAACACTTTCACCACACTCACACATTATCACTGTTTTTGCAGAGGTGCTCAGAATACAACAGTTTAGAAGCATATACGTATAAAGATACACAACATATCCCTCCAAACTGCCAATATCCCAAACCCGTCCTTTAAAGTGCAGGCATTGTACTTCCCATTTCCAGGACTCAAGTCCGATTATATGAAAATAACCGGTTTCCCTGAATCCCTTCACTAAATATTACCCTGCTCACACTCCAACAGATCGTCAGGTCCCAAGTATCATTCGTCTCCATGCACTCCTATCTAACACGCTCATGCACGATTGCTGGAAGTCCAAGCCCCTCGCCCACAAAACCTCCTTTACCCCCTCTTTCCAACCCTTTCGAGGACGACCCCTACCCCTCTTTCCTTCCCCTATAGATTTATATGCTTTCCATGTCATTCCACTTTGATCCATTCTCTCTAAATGACCAAACCAGCTCAACAACCCCTCTTCTGCCCTCTGACTAATACTTTTATTAACTCCACACCTTCTCCTAATTTCCACACTCCGAATTTTCTGCATAATTTATTTACACCACACATTGCCCTTAGACAGGACATCTCCACTGCCTCCAACCGCCTCCTCGCTGCTGCATTTACCACCCAAGCTTCACACCCATATAAGAGTGTTGGTACTATTATACTTTCATACATTCCCTTCTTTGCCTCCATAGATAACGTTTTTTTGACTCCACATATACCTCAACGCACCACTCACCTTTTTTCCTCATCAATTCTATGATTAACCTCATCCTTCATAAACCCATCTGCCGACACGTCAACTCCCAAGTATCTGAAAACATTCACTTCTTCCATACTCCTCCTCCCCAATTTGATATCCAATTTTTCTTTATCTAAATCATTGATACCCTCATCACCTTACTCTTTTCTATGTTCACTTTCAACTTTCTACCTTTACACACATTCTCAAACTCATCCACTAACCTTTGCAATTTTTCTTTAGAATCTCCTATAAGCACAGTATCATCAGCAAAAAGTAACTGTGTCAATTCCCATTTTGAATTTGATCCCCATAATTTAATCCCACCCCTCTCCCGAACACCCTAGCATTTACTTCTTTTACAACCCCATCTATAAATATATTAAACAACCATGGTGACATTACACATCCCTGTCTAAGACCTACTTTTACCGGGGAAATATTCTCCCTCTCTTCTACACACCCTAACCTGAGCCTCACTATCCTCATAAAAGCTCTTTACAGCATTTAGTAACTTACCACCTATTCCATATACTTGCAACATCTGCCACATTGCTCCTCTATCCCCCTCTATCATATACCTTTTCTAACTCCATAAATGCAATAAAAACTTCCTACCTTTATCTAAATACTGTTCACATATATGCTTCAATGTAAACACTTGATCTACACATCCCTACCCACTCTGAAGCCTCCCTGCTCATCCGCATTTCTACATTC